GAGGGCTGAAGCCCCCCAGCCAGCTGACTGTGGCTTTCACAGCTGGAGCTAGGCACAGCCTCCCTGGGCTGAGTGCTGGGAGCGAAGAGAAGTGGCTGCCTGACCAGCTGGCCATGGTGCTCAGCCAGGGTGCACCAAGCTCCATGTGGGCAGGTGCAGAGGAGAAGCCACAGATCAGCTGGAGCGCGGGGCAGCTCTTTCAGCTGAAAGCCACAGTCAGCTGTCTGGGGTGTTTAAGCCCTCCTGACCTTCCAGCTCCCACCATTCCTCACAGCTACTCACCTGTGTTGTTGCTCGGTGAGTAGCTGCTCCTCAAATGAGGAAATCTAATGTAAATGCACTGCGCAGGCGTGCAGTTCAGAGAGGGCTCAAGAGCTACTTTTAGAGTCCCTGAGATCTACCGGGAGATCGCGATCTACTGGTTGGTGACCACGGTTCTAGATCTTTTAAATTCTGTTTTTAATTTTTTTAACTAATTTATCAGGTTAGATGTAAGATTTGCTGTTTTGTAATCATCCAGGTCATCTCTAGTGGCTTTTTAAAAATATAGGTATGTTTGCTACCCTCCAGTCCTCTGAGACAGTAGCTGTTTTTAATGAGAGATTGTGTATTTTTGCTAACTGCTCAGTCACTTCATATTCAAGCCCTTTCAGAACATGAGTGCATAATATCTGGACTTAGTGACTTATTTTTTAAATTATTAATTAGATCCAGCACTACGTCTTCTGACATATTACTCCATGAGAATACTTGCATCCCTTATCCTCAAAAAGCCAGTTCTAGATAAGTTCTACATCGGCCTCTCCCCTTTACATGGTTTTTCCAAGTCAGCTGACTCAGGCTTACAGATGTCAGACAGTGGGGCTATAAAATTGCTGATGTTCCAGGTTGAGCTGGAGACCCATGGGTCTCAAAGCCCAGGTTTGAGCCTGAGCCTGAATGTCTACACTAATTTTATAGCCCCATTGCTCAAGCCCTGCAAGACCAATATAGCTGCCCCAGGCTCTGAGATTCAGTGATGCAGATTTTTTATCACAATATGGTCATAGTTATTGATTTACTTTCTGCTTTCCTGGTTCTATGTTTGTTCAGCATTACACATGCTGGATGAGATATTATTGTTTTCTTAAATAGCATCCCTGCCACATCTAAGGATTTTATGTCCTTTATTTTTGCCCTTCAGGCTTTTTTGAATATCCTCCTCTTTGACATACAGCTGGTCCCCGAGTTGCGACCGTTCGCAGTTACAACCAAAGCTGTCGTAAATGGCGGACCCCGAGTTACAAACGCAATCCATACTTATGAACAGCATGGTTGCGTGTAACTCTGTGGGGTCTGACTTACGAACAAATCGAGTTACAGCCAGTTGCTTGGTCTGTAACCGGTTTGTAAGGCGGGAAGAGGCTGTAGCTCAAATGAACAGGTTGCAGGCTGCTGAGTATCACAGATTTGTTTTTCCATTTTTAGTGGTTATACATAAATCTTTGCAGTTTCCCATTGTGTAGTTCAGTGGTTCTCAAACTTATTTGATGGTGCCCTCTTCTCTGTGTCTGTAGTAGGTTAGCCACCCCCCCACACCCCTCCAAGTACATATGCCAATACAAAAAATCAACATGCAACTGTCACTAAATATTTAAAACAGCAAGGCGTTGACACAAACAGAACGAACAACCTATTGTAATAAGAGCAAAAGTAAAATTGCAACTGTGGTCCTGCTTACAATTAAATGAGCACTCTGCATCATAGAAAATGGATTAATCTACACATGGCTATGACTTTGTATAACGCTTTGCAATCCACTAGAACACACAGTGCCATCCAGAGACAAATGTACAGTCCTATCTGAGGACTGGACATGTCTGGAGGAATGAGCTTTGCTTTTCATTGATGTAGGTAAAATGTGTACAGTGAGTTTTTTCCTCTAAAGATACTAATGTCCCTCATCCTGCCAAATACAGTCTGTGCCCCACTCCAGCGTATCCTGCTCCACTTTAAGAACTTCTGACCTACTTTAAGACTGCATACGGACAGATAATTTTTTTGTCCTTAAATGTCATTCATTAGATTTGTTCAGTTACATAAAAACTAATTTGGGCCAGCAACAGTTTTAATGGGTCCTAAGTATTAGATAAAATACAGCAGTCCCTCTGATACTGTAATGCATATCATTAAAGAAATCAAGGTTTGGTTAAGTGGTACAATAGGATGAGTAAATAGGGGCAAAGAGGTCTTGTCTGAAACCTTGAAGGGACCATAACAAAGCTTTTTTAAGGCCAAGACAGGGTAGATACAACATATTCTGGCCATCACTAGAAACCCCTAAATCAGTTTCTATATAATGAGTTTTTATACTGTGTATACTGTATGAGTGTATATACTCATACAGACATAAACAAAGAGTGGATAAGGCTAAAGAACTTATCAAACAGAGCACATTTATTGTGAACTGAAAGTAGTGGAAGCTCATAAAAATAGAACAGAAGTCTCCAGCTTCTGGAAATTATGCTATGCAGCATTCCCAGTCTACTGTGAATCTAGTCTGGATGCTGAGTGTATGTCTTGATGCTGTATGTACCAGCAAAGACAGCTGTTTTCTAGTGTTTAACATGCCAGTTCTAAATAATGCTTGGGCCTAATAGTTAAAGATCATGGGTGGGCAATAATTTTTTACCAGGGACCAGCTCAGGAATTTTTGAAGTGGCCCCGGGGGCTGCTCCAGTAGTGGTGGGGCCTCAGGCGGCAGGGGCAGGGGCAGGGGCAGGGGCAGGGGCAGGGGCAGGGGCAGGGGCAGGGGCAGGGGCAGGGGCAGGGGCAGGGGCAGGGGCAGGGGCAGGGGCAGGGGCAGGGGCAGGGGCAGGGGCAGGGGCAGGGGCAGGGGCAGGCGGGGGCAGGTGCAGGGGCAGGGGCAGGGGCAGGATACTTCCATGCTTCCCCACCCACAACCCCAATTGAGGTGGGGGAGCACATGAAGTCTTTGCTTCCCTCCCCGCCCCCCAGAGCTGGTGGTTTCCTCTAGGTGCCTATGACTCTGGCAGTGGGAGGAGGCTAGGGTAAGGAAGCACATGAAGTCTCCTCCCACCCTGTCCCCATCCTACAAGGAGCGTGTGTCACTTAGGAGACGGGAGAAGGGTGGGAGGAGACTTCATGTGCTCCCCCCGCCCCCAAGCCCTGACTGGCCAGGAGGCAAAGGGAGCATGCGAAGTCTCTTATTCCCTGCCCTCGGGTATGTGGCACTTAGAGTCAACCTCCAGGGTTGATTCTAAGCTCGGTTCTAGGCCCTGATTGGCCTAGAGGTGGGGGCTCAGCAGGCCTTCTGTGGGCCAGATCAACCCACTTGGTGGGCTGGATCCAGCTTGTGGAGGCCGTTTTGCCCACCCCTGTTAAAGATATATTCAGTGAGCTCTTTTCCTGATCTTTCTGATTTCAGTTTGAGTGTCCCCGGTAATGTGTAAAATAGAGGGACATTACTTTAGGCCCGTGGTCCCCAACACGGTGCCCGTGGGTGCCATGGCGCCCGCGGGGGCATTTCCATGCGCCCGCCAGGTGCTCGGGGCTGGCTTGGCCCCGGGCACATGGCGCGGCGCTTGCGGGGAGCATCGGCCCCGGGCGCACGGTGCTTGCGGGGGGGGGGGAAGCGCC